GGGAGCTGAACCCTGGGCCCCTGGAGGAACAGCAGGTGCTGGTCCATGTCTCCAGCCACTGATTGTTTTATTCCCTTCTGGAACAGATAGTTTTATTTTTTTCCTTGCTTCATTTGGCCTGGCCAGAAGCTCCAGTGGAGTATTATGTAGAAGTGGTAATGTACCTCCTTGTTTTGTTCCTGACCTCTGGGAGAAATCTCACAGTTCAGGTGTAACATCAGCTTGGGGCCATGCGGAGCTCATTTTTCAAATTGAAAAAGCACTGTTATTTCTAGATTGTAGACTGTCTTAATCGAGAAACAGTGTTATTTTGGTAAGTGCCTTTTCTTGCATGAGTTGGGACAGTTATTTTTATTTAAGCTTTGATTTATTGGTCTGGTATGTTATATGGATTTTTTTTTTCAGATGTTGGCCCATCCTTTCTTAGAAAAAGTCTTTTATCCATGGTCTATGCGATCTTTTTACTGTGTTACTGGATCTGATTTCTTAAAATCAGTTTTTATTTATTTTATGTGTATGGGTATTTTGTCTGCATCTAAGTCTGTATCACATGCATGTCTGGCACACTCAGAGGCCCTGCAGGGGTTGGAGTTATATATAGATGGTTGTGAGTTGCCATGTAGGTGTTGGCAGTTAAACTTGGCTCCACTTAAAGAGTACCATGTTCTAACTGTTGAACCACCTCTGTTCATTAATTTTTTAAAAAGTTTTTTTCACCAACATTCATGATGGACTTTAGTCTATACATTTTTCCAGAAAGAAAAATTTAGTTTTTGGTTTGTTTTTGATATCATAGCTGAGTTAGGAAGTGCTTTGTTATTCCCAAATTTATAGAATAATCTAAAATGGTTTTTTAAAAATTCATTTTCAACCTAGTATTTTTGAAGTCATTTGATTACTAGAACTCAAAGATCCTATGTTATCAATAGGCGACAGGTGTCACAGACTCTGCAAAGCAAGCCAGCAGTAGGCTCTGGATGGTTATATTTTTATTTCTGGCCTCTTTGAAGGCAGTTTTGTTTGTAACATTTTGAATTATCCCAAGTGAATTTTAAGCTAATAAGTCCTGGTGAAGAAGTGGGCGTGCAGGGGCTGCTTTGCCTGAAGCTCTCTCTGCTGTTACCTGTTGATCTTCATGATGAGATATTCCTTTCAGTTATGATGTGATTTGCTTCCAGGATCTCCTTCTGTTTCTGTAATTTCTACTTTTTATTAGTATTCGCTGATGGGACATCTCTGGATTTGTTAACTTTGATTCTTTTTCTGTTTTTACTGTGCTGAGTCTTGGGCTTCACACACAGTAGGTGCGTGTTTTACCACTGAGGCCCATCCCAAGCTCTCTGTTAGCTCTTTGTTCATGGTTCCCCCCTGGGTCTTTGGGTACACGTTAGTTGTTGACTTGTTGTGTTTGTCTTAGGCTTCTTTGTGTGCAGTTTCCAGTGATTCTCTTTTTTTCTTGTTCGATGTCTCACTTATACAGATGTATTTTATCACGTTCTTATATTTGATTGTGTGCTGTATTTAAAGTTGGCAGTGTGAGTATTCCAATGTGGCAGTTCTGAGAAGTAGAGTTCCTCCCCTTTAGTATATACGGTTGCTGCTTGTGCTTGCCAATTTTCTTATTGGCTATTCCAAAGTAGTTCTTGAGATTACGGCTCCATGTTGTGTATAGCCCCCGAAGCCTCTGACAGAGATGCCTTCATGCTGAAACTTGGCTGCCTTTTTTCCTTGCTTAAAATGAGCCACTTACTAGTTTATTAAACTTTTAATAGAATTGTTGACAGTTTTGTCAGGTTTTGTGAGGGAATAGACTTTTGGATTGAACTTTTCTATCATTTTTTGCTAACAGTCTTGTGCCTCTGAATAACCATTCATCAAGGAAGACATCACAGGAGTATTGGAAATATTGTGAATTGAAGGATATGAAAATCAGTGCAGAAAACATTATTGGATACATCTAATGTAGAGTAGGAGGAATTCCTAGCGTTAAGTGCATGTGTGCTATAACATGGGTTTCATAAATACAGTCGGGGGCAAGGCAAATCCACTGCCAGGTTTCATAAAATTTTATTGTCACACAGTCTTGCAAAGTGTGTGTGCCAGTGTGTGTGCAGGTTTGTGTGCCAGTGAAGCTTACTTTTGTGGATTGGAAGATGGAGTTTCTGCCAGAGCTGTAGATCTGGCTTGTTGTATAGTTTTGTATGCTTGAGATTGCGTTCATGATGAATTTAGTTTTGTGGCTCCACAGAGTTCTCTCTTCTGGTTCTTTGGCTAGAAACACGCTCCTTTTGGAGTATTAAGATTCTGCATAGCTGTCATGTTGCAGCTTGGCCACAGAGGCAGCTCTTGGGATTGAACAGTAGGGATAAAGGAGAAGAGAAAGAAAAGCGAGCACTCTGTGGCAGGCCGGGTTTCTGGGTCCTCTGGCTGGAAAGAGGACAGCCTTCTCCCTGTTGTCTGCTGTGCAGGTCTACACAGGTGCCACTCATTCCCATGCAGAAGAGTAAAAGGTTCAGGCAGAGACCAACCAAACAAGTAGAAAACTCAGCCCCTTCCTAGTTTTGCTTCCTCTGCATTCTATCATTTTTAATTTTTAGTCTTGAGGCAGTTGCTCTCAGCTACTGTCAATAGGTTTTACTAACAATCTCATACCTCTGTATAACCATTCCTCAAGAAGACATCACAAGAATACTGGAAACATTGTGAGTTGAAGGAAATGAAAGCCAATACAGAAAACATGGGATACAGAGAAAGCAGATTAGAAGGAATTCATAGTTTGTCAATCGGTTTTTACTTTTAAGTAGCTTAGGCAGGAGCTTAGCTTACTCCTTCTTTGCTGGTATTGGAGCCACATTCATTAGATACTTATGCATATTCCGTGTTTTCCGTTACACCCTTTGTGGAATGCACAATACTTGTGACAGCCACGACAGTGGTTTCCCCCAGGCTCGAGGTGCTTAGATGTATAGTATAGCTTGGAGACTACAGCCCTTAGTTGTACAGGGGTAAGTTATTAAGACAAAGATTTGGCCGAAACGGTTTATATACTTATTACCTTATTTCAGACAACAGTGTGGAAACTGTCCATGCTTTCTAATTCTCATAATTACCTACTAGATAAATGTTATATTATTCCCATTTTAAGAATGATATACAAGAGGTTAAGCAGTTTACCCAAGGCTACATCCATAATAAATGGTAAAGCCGTGATTCAAGCCTAAAGGTAAGGGACTTGTGTTAAAAGTCTGTTTTAAAACTTTTACTTTTGTGAACGTTTTTACATATGAGCCAAAGTAGAGAATAGTGAAGAATTATTAATAAAAACTCAGACACAGATATTGGGGTTCAACTTGAAGACCAGAAAAGCAAAGCTACCAGCCACTGGCTGTTACCTCAACCTCAGTTCAAAAATAGTGATCCTGCCTCTAGGAATCTTAGAATGAGACTGAGCCTGAGAGCTGTCTTCTCCCATCTTATACTTCTCTAGGGCTGGGATTAAAGGTGTGTACCACTACTGCCAGGTGTCTATGGCAAACTAGTGTGTCTACTGGGATTAAAGGTGTGTGTCACCACTGCCTGATCTATAAGACAGACCAGTGGGACTCCTTTACTCTCTAATCTTCAGGCAAGCTTTATTTATTAAAATACAAATGAAATGTCTCTATAGAATAGTAAATCAAACCCTTTAGATATTGTTTACCCAGAATTCAGCAATATTATGCTTATCTTGTTTTAACTTTTAAACTTTTCAAAAAATTTTCAATGAATATAAAAACATAATTTTCAATTGAATTTCTCATAAGCACCAGAATAAAAGAGACAATAAAATATCAATATAATTATAATATAGGAAAGTAAAAACTAATTTCCTTTATATCGTCTAACATCTGCTTGGTTTCCATTGTTATCAATTGGCTTTGAAGTGTTTCTGATAATTGGTCCAGCTCAGTATCTCTTACATCCCATTATTTGTTGACGTGTCTCCAACATCTTCAAAGACCTGCCTGAACCCTAATCCTGGCTCCAGCACTTCTTTCCTGATAGGACTTTTAAGTTCTTTTAAAGTAGGTCTGCACCTTGGAGTAGTTTTATTTTTATTGCACTATTTAAGATGTACAATGTGTATTCTATGGAATGATTTTAGATTTATAGAAAAAGTACAAAGACAATAGAGTACAGAGGTTCCCCTCCTCTCTGCACTCAGTTTGACTCCCTTAACTTTATTGATTTACATTCCGCAAGTACATTTGCCAAAACTGTGGTACCAGCGTTGGTATATTACTCATAATTACAAATTAATCGTTATTTTGATTCGATCACTTTTTTAGATAATGTTCTTTCCTGTTTTTTGTCCAGGATGCAGTTCAGGGTTTGCACTAAAACCTGTTTCTGTTTGATCTTTTCTGGAATATAACAGTTTCCCATCTTTCCTTGTTTTTTTTTTTCATGACCTTGAACCTTTGAAGTCTCAAGCAGATGTTTTGTGGGATGTCCAGCATTAGATTTTGTATCTCTCAGCATTAGGCAGGGGTTATGAGTGTCTAGGAGGTACCATAAGGTACAGTACCTCTCATATGGTTTACTTCTGAGTTTTCTTAAGTTGTGTCTAAAAGTTCTTATGCTCCCAAGGTCAGGCAAAAGCTTCAGAGGACTCTTTATGTCTTTCCTCCCTAGTCTTTCCTCTTCCGTTAGCCTAGGCAGTATTTCATTTGTTGTTGGCTTGTCCTTGTAATATGTTTTACTATAAGGAAAGAGAAAAATACAGACGTTAGTATCATTCTGTTTTCTTTTCTCTCCTTACCTAAAAGATAGTGCCAGTTCCTGTCCTTGGCCCCTCTGTCATCACACTTCTTGTTCTGTAGGATAGTCTCTGACTGACTTTGATGGTGCTCACTTGTATTCAATATATTTTCAATATTGTCCTTCAGCCTGTAAGTTTGTCATATTGCTATGCCTTGGAAAACATTAAGCACATGCATGGTTCCTTTTGTAATTCACAGATATTTTCCAATTTGTCTCTGGATGAACGTTGCCTTTCTGCATCATTGGTCTGCAAGTACTGGCGTGACCTTTGTTTGGATTTCCAGTTCTGGAAGCAGCTGGATCTTAGCAGTCGTCAACAGGTATGGAGATGAATTCTATTAAAACCCTTATTTGCCCTACTCAGTTGGATAAACATCTTTATTCTCTTTTCAGAAGACTGTAATCTACAATGGTATGCTTTTAAACAATTTTCCAAAATTTAATGTTTTACACACACACACACACACACACACACACACACACACACACGCAGTGTATATATAAGTTTAATTGAAAACTACATTTCATGGTGGAAAAGATAATTTCTTTTTTTTTATTAATTTTTTTTTTGAGCTCTACATTTTTCTCTACTCCCCTCCCTGCCTCTCCCCTCTCCTTCAACCCTCTATCAAGGTCCCATGCTCAGGAGATCTTGTCTTTTTCTACTTCCCATGTAGATTAGATCCATGTATGCCTCTCTTAGGGTCCTCTTTATTGTCTAGGTTCTCTGGGATTGTGGTTTGTGGGCTGATTTTCTTTGCTTTATGTTTTAAAAACCACTTATGAGTGAGTACATATGATAATTGTCTTTCTGGGACTGGATTACCTCACTCAAAATGATGCTTTCTAGATCCATTCATTTGCCTGAAAATTTCAAGATGTCATTATTTTTTTTCTGCTGTGTAGTACTTTGTTGTGTAAATGTACCACATTTTCCCTATTCATTGTTCGGTTGAGGGGCATTTAGGTTGTTTCCAGTTTCTGGCTATGACAAACAGTGCTGCTATGAACATAGTTGAGCACATGTCCTTGTGGCACGGATGAGCATCCTTTGGGTATATACCTAAAAGTGGGATTGCTGGGTCTTGAGGAAGGTTGTTTCCTAATTTTCCGATGAATTGCCACACTGATATCCAAAGGGGCTGTACCAGCTTGCAATTCCACCAGCAATGCAGGAGTGTTCCCTTTACCCCCTTGTTGAAATTAGAGCGGCGGGGCTGCGTCCCCAGCACCCCAGCCGCCTGCTGGCTTATGCCCGAAATAACAACACACAAACTGTATTCATTTAAAGACTGCTTGGCCCATTTCTATCTAGCCTCTTCTAGGCTAATTCTCGCACCTGGACTAGCCCATTTCTAATAATGTGTGTAAGCACCCCAAGGTGCGCTTACCGGGAAGATTCTAGCCTACGTCCATCCTGGGTCTGAGCTGCATGGGAGAGCAGAGCCTGGCGTCTGTGCTCCAGAGAGCAGAGCTGTCGGGTCTGAGCTCACTTCCTCTTCCTCCCAGCATTCCATTCTGTTTACTCCTCCCACCTATGTTTTAACCTATCAGGGCCAGCCAAGCAGTTTCTTTATTGCTTAACCAATGAAATCAACAGATTGATATATGACACTCCCACATCACCCCATAACCTCTCCAGCATAAGTTGTCATCAGTATTTTTGATCTTGGCCATTCTTACAGTTGTAAGGGATGTTTTGATTGGCATTTCTCTGATGACTAAGGATGTTGAGCATTTCCTTAAGTGTCTTTCAGCCATGTTAGATTCCTCTGTTGAGAGTTCTCTGTTTAGGTCTGTACTCCATTTTTTTTTTTTGGATTATTTGTTCTTTTGATGACCATTTTCTTGAGTTCTTTGCGTATTTTTTTTTTCTTTTCCTTTTTTTTTTCTTTGTGTATTTTGGAGATCAGACCTCTCAATGATGTGGGATTGGTGAAGATTTTTTTCCATTCCGTAGGTTGTTGTTTTGTCTTGTTGACTGTGTCCTTTGCTTTACAGAAGCTTTTCAGTTTCAGGAGGTCTCATTTATTAATTGTTTCTCTCAGTGGCTGTGCTGCTGGTGTTGTATTTAGGAAGTGGTCTCCTGTGCCAAGGCATTCAAGTGTACTTCCCACTTTCTCTTCTATGAGGTTCAGTGTGGCTGGCTTTATGTTGAAGTCTTTGATCCATTTGGACTTGAGTTTTGTGCATGGTGATAGATATGGGTCTGTTTTCATTCTTCTACATGTTGATATCCAGTTATGCCAGCACCATTTGTTAAATGTGTTTTCATTTTTCCATTTGATATTTTTTGCTCCTTTGTCAAAAATCAGGTGTTCTAAGGTGTGTGGATTAATATCTGGGTCTTTGATTCAGTTCTGTTGTTGTTCCTGTTTGTTCTTATGCCAATATCAGGCTGTTTTCAGTACTGTAGCTCTGTAGTAGTTTGAAGTGAGGGATTGTGATGCCTCCAGAAGTTCTTTTATTGTACAGGATTGTTTTGGCTATCCTGGGTTTTTTGTTTTTCCATTTGAAGTTGAGTACTGTTTTAAAGTCTGTGAAGAATTTTGCTGGGATTTAATGGGATTTTGCATTGAATCTGTAGATTGTTTTTGGTAAGATTGTCATTTTTACTATGTTAAATTCTATCTACCCAAGAGCATGGGAGATCTTTGCACTTTTTTGTATCTTCTTTAAATTTCTTTCTTCAAAGATTTAAAGTTCTTGTCATACAAGTCTTCCACTTGTTTGGTTAGAATTACTCTGAGATATTTTATGCTATTTGTGGCTATTGTTAAGGGTGATGTTTCTCTGATTTCTTTCTCAGCCCATTTATCATCTGTGCCCAGGACGGCTACTGACTTTTGTGTACGTGTGTGTGTTAATCTTGTATCCTGCTACATTACTGAAAGTGTTTATGAGTTGTAGAAGTTCCTTGGTAGAATTTTTTGGATCGCTTATGTAAACTATCATATCATCAGCAAATAGTGAGAGTTTGACTTTTTCTTTTCCTGTTTGTGTCTTCTTGATCTCCTTTTGTTGCCTTATTGCTGTAGCTAGGACCTCAAGAACTATATTGAATAGATATGGAGAGAGTGGACAACCTTGCCTTGTTTCTGATTTCAGTGCAATTGCTGGGAGTTTCTCTCCATTTAGTTTGATGTTGGCTGTTGGCTTGTTATATATTGCCCTAATTATGTTTATGTATGCTCCTTGTATCCCTGCTCTCAGCAAGACTTTATCATGAAGGGATGTTGTATTTTGTCGAAAGCTTTTTCGGCATCTAATGAGATGATCATGTGGTTTTTATTTTTCATTTTGTTTATATGGTGGATTACAATTGACAGATTTTGGTATGTTGAACCATCTCTGCATCTCTGTGATGAAGCCGACTTAATCATGGTGGATGATGGTTCTGATGTGTTCTTGGATTCTTTTTGCCAGTATTTTTTCAGTATTTTTGCATCAACATTCATGAGTGAGATTGGTCTGTAATTCTCTTTCTTAGTAATGTCCTTTAAGTGGTTTGGGTATCAGGGTAATTGTAGCCTCATAAAAAGAGTTTGGCAATGTTCCTCTGTTTCTACTGTGTGGAACAATTTGTGGAGTATTGGTATTAGTTCTTCTTTGAAAATCTTGTAGAATTCTAAGCTGAAACCATCTGGTCCTGGTCTTTTTTTTGGTTGGGAGACTTTTGATAATTGTTTCTATTTCTTCAGCAGTTATAGGTCTATTTAATTTGCTTATCTGGTCTTGACTTAATTTTGGTAAGTGATATTTATCCAGAAAGTTATCCATTTCTTTTAAGCTTTCCAATTTTGTGGAGTACAGGTTTTCAAACATGACCTGATGATTCTCTAGATTTCCTCTGTATCTGTTGTTATATCCCCCTTTTCATTTCTGATTTTGTTAATTTGGATATTATCTCTCTGCTTTTGGTTAATTTGGATAAAGGTTTGTCTATTTTGTTGATATTCTTGGAAGAACCAACATATTGATTCTTTGTATTGTTTTCTTTGTTTCTATTTTGTTGATTTCAGCTCTCAATTTGATTATTTCCTGCAGTCTAGTTCTCTTATGTGAGTTTGCTTCTTTTTGTTCTAAAGTTTTCAATTGTTCTGTTAATTCTCTAGTATGGGGTTTTCCTAGCTTCTTTATGTAGACATTTAGTGCTATGAACTTTCCTCTTAACACTGCTTTCAATGTATCCCATAAATTTAGATATGTTGTGTGATCATTTTCATTTCATTTTATTTCTTCCTTGACTCGTTGATGATTTAGGTGATCATTGTTTAATTTCCATGTGTTGGTGGGCTTTTTTGGAAATAGTATTGTTGTTGAATTCTAGTTTTAAGCCATGGTGATCTGATAAGATACATGGGGTTATTTCATATTTTTTTTTAATCTGTTGAGGTTTGTTTTGTTACTGAGTATGTGGTCAGTTTTTGAGAAAGGTCCATGAGGTGCTGAGAAGAAGGTATTTTTTTGTGTTTGGATGGAATATTCTATAGATAAGTCCATTTGAGTCATAACATCTGTTAGTTCTCTTATTTCTATGTTCATTTTTTTTTTTGTCTGACTAACCTGTCCAGTGGTGAGAGGGGAGTGTTGAAGTCTCCCACTGTTAGTGTGTGTGGTTTAATGCATGATTTAAGCTTTAGAAGTATTTCTCTTACATATGAGGGTGGTCTTGTATTTGGGGCATAGATATTCAGTATTGAGATTTCCTCTTGATGGATTTTTCCTATGACTAATATGAAATGTCCTTCTTTGTCTCTTTTGATTGATTTTAGTTTGAAGTCTATTTTGTTAGATATTAGGGTAACTACACCATCTTGCTTCTTAGGTCCATTTAATTGGTAATTTTTTTTCCCAACCCTTTCCTCTGAGGCGATGTCTGTCTTTGAGGTTTTGTGTGGGAGGTCCTTCTGTCTATGTGCAGCTTTCATTGGTTAATGAATAAAGAAACTGCCCTGGCCTGTTGATAGGGCAGAACTTAGGTAGGCAGGGAAAATGGAACTGAATTCTGGGAGGAAGAAAGCAGAGTTGGAGAGATACCATGGATCCTCTGCCTGAGATAGACGCTGGTTAGAATCTTGCTAGTTAGCCACTGCCACGTGGCGATACACAGATTAATAGAAATTGGTTAAATTAAAATGTAAGATTTAGCCAATAGGAAGCTATAGCTATTGGGCCAAGAAGTGATTTAATTAATACAGTTTCTATGTGGTTATTTCGGGGTTAAGCTAGCCGGGTGGCCAGGACAAACATGTGGCTCCTTGCAATAGAAATTGAGGTGTATGTTTTGTATGCAGCAGAAGGATTGATTCTGTTTTCA